GGTCTTCCCACTGAAAGAAAGATGGATTTGTTAATATTAAAATGTAATGTAGTAATAAACTTCCTGCTAAATGAGAGATGTGTTTCTTAACATTAACATCTAATGTATTGTATTAACATTTTAAATATTTTAGAGCGACTTACCAAAACAATTTTTTACTTCTCTTTATTAATTTGTTCCTATTTGTTCCAAAAACAGAAGAAGCAGAAGTTATCATGCTTTTTGATTTCATTCTGGCTGATTGAATAACGATTTCATGGAATATACATTTTTAAATGTTCGGTTTTCGGTTATACATAAAAATGTTTGATTTCTTAGAATATAACTTTTTTTTTCCATTTTCTGTTTCCGATTGGTTAAATAACACTGATTGATTTTCTGGAATGAATTTTATCCAACATATTCTGTCTCTCTTCCTTCCTTTGTAAGTTCCATCATACATATTCTGTCTATTTTCCTTTATGTGCAAATTTTATCCCACATATTCTGCCTCTCTCTTTCGCTGTGTAAACAACACTCATGACTGTAACAGTATCAGCTGTATGTTGTATGCTATGTCAATTATACGTTAAACTTGGACTCGCTCCTTTATAATTCAATGTATCCTTTCCATTTCAATCGTAACCCTGCTTTTTTTTCTCACACATTTGCTGTCTTTCTTTCTTCCAGCTCCAATAACTGTAACATAAAAACCAGTGAATCCATTCATCTACTGTAAACTCCATCTTTTGATGAACGTGACCATCACAGTAAAACCACAACAGCAGTAAGATGTGAAAAGTAGCGTTTTTATTTCGCGCATTTCTCTTGTACTTCTCTTCTAAGATGGCATGTTATCAGTGAATTTTTATATTAACCATCCCGTATATTTCATGCTATAGATTATTATTACTAGTGTACTTTCATGTCATGCAGTACCATTCTCTGTTCTTTTTTCATGTTACACGTTGTATGTGTATGTGTACAATTCATTTTCATGCAACGCATACCTTTAACAGTCGATTTTCATGTTATACATCATCAATACCAATTCAATTTTCATGTAAAACATCCTCATCATCAATACATTATTGTATGTATTATTCTGTATTTCTCATGCTATTCGAATAATTCTTTTGTATGATTCATACAACACAGCATAGTCCTTTGTGAATTTTTCATATTATACAACATCATTACCAGTATGTTTTGCATGCTATACACAAACCTGTATGATATAAATAGCACACGGAATACACAGGATGTGAAGTTCACTGGTAGTAAATGGTACACTTGCAATGGTGTTGTATAACACATAATGATACTGTATAATGTGAAAAGTACACTGGTAATGATGTTGTATAATGTGAAAGTACACTGGTAATGATGTTATATAATGTGAAAAGTACACTGGTAATGATGTTGTATAATGTGAAAAGTAAACTGGTAATGATGCTGTATAATATAAAAATACACTGGTAATGATGCTGTATAATGTGAAAAGTACACTGGTGATGATGTTATATAATGTGAAAAGTACACTGGTAATGATGTTATATAATGTGAAAAGTACACTGGTAATGATGCTATATAATGTGAAAGTACACTGGTAGTGATGCTATATAATGTGAAAAGTACACTGGTAATGATGTTATATAATGTAAAAAGTACACTGCTGATGATGCTGTATAATGTGATGCCATATAATGTGAAAGTACACTGGTGATAATGTTATATAATGTGAAAAGTACACTGGTAATGATGCTGTATAATGTGAAAAGTACACTGGTAATGATGGTGTATAATGTAAAAGATACACTGGTAATGATGGTGTATAATGTGAAAAATACACTGGTAGTGATGCTATATAATGTGAAAAGTACACTGGTAATGATGGTGTATAATGTGAAAAGTACACTGGTAATGATGTTGTATAATGTGAAAAGTAAACTGGTAATGATGCTGTATAATATAAAAATACACTGGTAATGATGCTGTATAATGTTAAAATTACACTGGTGATGATGCTGTATAATGTGAAAAATACATTGGTAGTAATGCCATATAATGTGAAAGTACACTGGTGATGATGTTATATAATGTGAAAAGTACACTGGTAATGATGCTGTATAATGTGAAAGTACACTGGTAATGATGGTGTATAATGTGAAAAGTGCACTGGTAATGATGCTGTATAATGGGAAAAGTACACTGGTGATGATGCTATATAATGTGAAAAGTACACCGTTAGTGATGCCATATAATGTGAAAGTACACTGGTAAATGATGTTCTTTTATGTGAAAAGTACACCGTTAGTGATGCCATATAATGTGAAACTACACTGGTAATGATGTTGTATAATGTGAAAAGTACACTGGTAATGATGTTGTATAATGTGAAAAGTACACTGGTGATGATGCTATATAATGTGAAAAGTACACCGTTAGTGATGCCATATAATGTGAAAGTACACTGGTAATGATGTTATATAATGTGAAAAGTACACTGGTAATGATGTTGTATAATGTGAAAAGTACACTGGTAGTGATGCTATATAATGTGAAAGTACACTGGTAATGATGTTATATAATGTAAAAAGTACACTGCTGATGATGCTGTAATGTGAAAAGTACACTGGTAATGATGCTGTATAATGTAAAAAATACACTGGTAATAATGCTGTATAATGTGAAAAGTACACTGGTGATGATGCTATATAATGTGAAAAATACACTGGTAGTGATGCTATATAATGTGAAAAGTACACTGGTAATGATGTTATATAATGTGAAAAGTACACTGGTAATGATGCTGTATAATGTGAAAGTACACTGGTAATGATGGTGTATAGTGTGAAAGTACACTGGTAATGATGGTGTATAATGTGAAAAGTACACTGGTGATGATGCCATATAATGTGAAAAGTACGCCAGTAAATATGAAATGTATGAAGAAAAATACACTTGTTCGAATTCTGAATGGCACGAGAAATACAGAGGGAATGATGCTGTATGATTTGTGTATTTTTCTTGTCATTCAGAATCCTTAAAAGTCTGTTCTTTGCGTCATATACAACCCTCACCAATCTATTTTTCTTGATATACTCTATATTTAATGGTGTATTTTTCATGTGATTCGGAATCTTCACTATTGTATTTTTCTTGTCCCAACTGCTTATCATTTCAAAAACAACATTCTAAAGCTCAGTATATCAATTACACACCAAATTTTCTCACCTAGTATTCATATGAACAAATTAAATACCACCTTTTCTCACCTGATAATTATATTCAAAGATTCCCATTTATCTCATGCATGATTACTAGGTTTCGCTCGAATTATTCTGAATAATTCTATCATTTTACATGTCATCACTCTCTATTCGTTTACTGTAACTTACATATTTATCCCAGCAGTTTTTGTGCATGAATTGCTAAAGAATAATAGATATCGTCTTTGCTAGTATATAGCATTGATTGTATTAGTGGATGACATGGGTATAAATCGTACAAAGTGGCGATTTCCAGTCACATGGAGCTATGTGCTCTAACCGACCAAGTAAAGTACTTGGCGAATTCTCTATCTTCGTTAATTTTCGTTAATATGATAGAGTTTGATTTTTAAATTAGTAATGTCATATATTATTTTTAAATAACAAAAATCTCAAATTAAAGTTTTTTCGCTTGTTAGTATTTCAATTATGCTTAATACTCATTACTGTTCGAAATGTCACCTGTGAACGGATACGTGAAAAGCTATTTTATGATTGTATAACAGTCTTGAGGAACCAAGGGAAACTTTTAACTGAACTCTTAAACCAAACAAATGTTTTCAAACCAAAATGTCCTTATGAAATTCCTTATAACAATAAATACGCGCAATGTTCCTGTGGAGTTCACGAAAACTTAGTAATAAATAAACGTATTTGATGCAGTTTTTGTCGAAAGATGTCTGTGTGTCAATCAGTCGACTTGACGCATTTATTGTTGCTTATAATATTTTGGTGGATATGAAACACATCGAATTTTGTGAAAAATAAAAAAAATGTGAGTTAATTTCATTAGCTGAATGTAAATTACACCACGAATTTCGACCTCTGTGTGAAAAGGGAATTATGTTCTTATTAGGTCACTTATAGTTTCAAATTGTGATTTCTAAAAAAATACTTATCTGTATTGTTTTGAAGCATATATCTGTTTTTTCCTGGAACTACTGCTATGAACGAACAGTAAAATTGAACATTAAATAAGATTCTGAAATAGGTAATAACTCAATTACTAGTTAGAAAGTAGTGCAAGAACAAGTTTTAATTGAACTGTATCGTTAAAGTATTACAAGTATTTGGTTAAATAAAGCCAAGATTGTAGAACCATCAAATCTGAAGAGCTGATTTAGCGCCATCTGTTGAGAAAACAAAAATTAACGGTTTTATTTACATCCAGGATTGTTTATACCAGTAAAAAATTAACAAAACCCAAAATATGTATTTAAATTACATTATAAATGTTAAATGTACATTGTTTATATTAAAATATTATAGCTATGAATGTAACTTTACCTACTGTACCATAAGATTAAGATAAATATCTATATATGGTCTTGTTATCTCACCCACCCAAATGCACAATCAAATTAAAATATCTACATATGGTATTGACATTGCTACCTTATCTACTGTAGTTTCTTATAGAATTAAATTACCTATATATATTTTGGATATCGTCATCGCAGTCAACTCACCATAAGATTCAGTTATCTATGTATTGTTTTGTTATTGCTGTCAAGACTTGGTTAGTGTTTAATGTTTGACTCATTAAAAACCTAAGTCAGACTGATTTGTCTTCCTATACAAATTTTGTTACCAATCCATGTTAGTTGTTTTCAGTAAAGCTACTATAAAGATATTTATAGCTTAAATGTTTTAAAGCATATTTTCCATAGGAATTTATGATTTATTGTACTTTCAAGAGGTAACACAAAGATGCATAACTCACAATATGTTTTCGCAGATCCAGTAGCATCATTTTTTTACAGTTTCAATGTAGCTGGGAAACCACTGAGAACATGTCTCCCAAACAGCTTTACATATGACATACTGCACCTCTGTTTCAATGGTTGCGCCATCTGTTGACAATATATATATACTTTTAGCTAATTTAATATTTGAAATACATTATACCTTCTCACCGGTTGCAGAACAGTAAGAACAAATAGCTAATTGTTTAGCTATAAGCTTACCAACAAATAAACAAAGACATAAATAATTACATCCAAAATTTATTATATCATTAAACAAAAGTAAAGTACTACCAATTAAAAGTCTACTAAGTTTCTTTCATCTTGGTTATTCACGAATTTGTCTGAGTTCACCAAGGTCGTTTTTCCTTTAGAAAAATATCTTTAGTAAAGACCTTGCTACAGTAGAAGCAATGGTCTGGTCTAGTGTCGAACAATGGGATTACTTGGAAGTTTGATCTACTCTTTGTTCATATGAGTGTAGCCCTCAGTCACGTGGATGAGGTGTGCGTGTGCTTAGGGAAAGAGAGCTTTGTATATATTATTATTATTTCTTTGTTTAAAATAAAATTTGTACTATATTCCTAATATAGATTCGTATTTTAATATTAATATTAAGATTCAGGCATATAGAGAAATAGGGGGTAATATAGCTTATTGAAAGTCTCTGTTTGAGGTAGAGGCTCTTCAGACTTACAGATTGGGTTTATCACAGCTTTGCCTTTAGCATCAAATAACTAGTCACACTGATGAGAGAGCATTAATAAAGCTCTCTCTTCAGTCGATCACACAAGCATTTGTTTGAGTGTTTAACTTAACTTTGACTATTTGATTATAATAAAGATTGTGATTGTTTACAACCCTGTGGCCAGTCTCTTTCTTTTGATTAAGAGTCCGTTTAGGTACTGCTTTGCAATGCAGTATCTGACCAATCTTCCTGTTTTTGGGGTTCCTGCAGGCTACTTTGGGAGAAATCAGAGCAATCTGAGAATATCACACTGGAAACCTGCATTAGGCTAGTAAATAAGATGTGAATGTTATTCTTGTAGTGATGTAATATCGAATTTATTATCTACTTATGTCTAAAACTACAAACTGATAATTCATTATTCCTGTCAATTAATAACTTTTGTCTTTGTAATTTTCTAAGATTTGTAACAGGAAACACAAGAAAAGGAATAAATCTTGAATAACCAATACTTTTAATGAGTATACTACTTTAATTGCACTCAAATTATTGAATGTTTAACACTGTTCACAACCGCTGGGATTCACTTGGACCATGCATTTATGCATGATAATTTACACTATTCATAATTTCTAAACACTTTTATTATGGTATATTAATGGTTAGTTTACTACACTGTAGTATTTAACATTGTAATATCGTTGTAAGCTATATTTTTGATGTTTGTTTTCTACAGGGAGCCATAATTATGTAATGGTGATGACGTTATGACCCAGAAATTTCATGTAGTAAGTATTATATAAGACGATTACGATATGAATACGAGAATCAGTGAAGCACTGAATTAATGATTGAGTTAGTCCAGTGCCATTTAGACAATAAAAGTTATTGCTACTGATTCAGTTAGAGTTAGACAATGAGGGTTAGTGTGTGTCTTTGATTAAAATTATGCAAGTATGTTTTGTATTGCGAGTTAGGATTACTTTAGTTTTCGGAAGTTTTGTTAATCGTTATATGAGCCTTTGTATTTGAAGTAGATCTGTAAATAAATATTATTTATACCAAGTAATCCAAAAGAACCCGCTCAACAATAGAAAACATTGCAACGATAGTTTGACATTTTATTTCCAAATTAGAAAATGCAAGTAGCATAAAAATTCAAGACAAATATCATTTAAAAAGCATTATAAAATATTTTGTGACAGTTGTGATAGTTAAACACACAAATTTTGTTACTTTTCACACACATGTCCCTGCATTTTTCTCCACTTGTTGACGGGAGACTTACGACCACATTTTCTTGTAATGCCATTTTCTGAAAAAAACAATATCTTTTTTGCTTTGTTGAATTGGTTATTTTCCCAAACTCTTCAGGAAAATATAGTTGTTATCTGATCTCCCTTTATTTCAATCAAGTTCAAGATTAATTTACAAAACAAAAGCGTTTAAGTAGCGTATACCTAGCATGTTATAGAATTCTGCAATTGGCCATCTGTGTTTCTTCTTTTTGGTTGAGTATCACTTAGTCAGTAGTTTTACATCTTTGGTGTAATTTAAGATCTTCACTGCTTTTGGACCTGAATTGTCGTCAATTCATGGCTGATCATGCCTAGCACTTAGTTGTATAACTACTTTTCCTTTTCTTAAACAATACTGTTGTAAAGGTTTCTATTATTGGCCTTGTTACTTTGGATTATTTAGTAAAAAGAAAAATGCAAAACCAATCTACTTAATAATAAAAAATCATTTGACTTTTTCGTCTACAAGTTCGATAAGTTCCACGGTTTTACGTAACTCAATATAAAAAATTCACAAGTAAAAATGTTTTACATAGAAATTTCCCACGTACTTGTTAATTTCATATTTCTTGCACTTCGTTCAAATACAAACTCAGATTTAAAGTACTGAAATAACTAATTGGCTCACAGCACGAAACTGCGTAAATCATTCACTGCTTACTCGTTTGCTAACTATATAAAATATTTGATCTTTATATATATGTGTGTGTAATTCATATAATGCTATTTATGTATTGTCTTGTATTTTTGTAAGCAAACATATATGAGTTATTTGTTTTGTTTGAAGTTAAGCACAAAGCTACATAATGGGCTATCTGTGGGCAACCACGAGTATCGAAACCCGATTGCTAGTGTTGTAAGTTCGCAGAGATGCCGCTGTGCCACTGGGGTATAATATATGTTGGAGAAACAGAATAGATTTACATAAATCTCATGTGAAAAATGCAAATAATTGCCCACTATTTGTTAACAAACACGTTAATAAGTTAATAACTGTATTATAGAAAAATATCATACTTTACCAGAACGTTTTTTCCAAATATTTTCATTTTGGTATTCTTGTGAACAAAAAAAAAAGAGATATTATTTTATGAAAATTACTTTATTAATAAATTTAAAACCACATTAAATGTTATGTAGTTTAAGAAATAAAGATAATATAAAACATATGTAAAGCTTTAAGGTAAAAAATGCCGTAAGTTTTTTCATTGTTAAGCAGGTTTTAGCAGAGAGACTCTTATTATAGAAACTGAAAAGTGTCCTTGAAGATATTGAAACCTGTATTTTTTGTTTTAGATTAACAACAATAAAGAGTTTTTAAAATATTTAAAATATTTTTGTATTGTTTCATATATATATACTTAGATATTAAGATTTATAAGCGTTAATTGTGGTTTTGACTTAACATAGTTTAATTGGGGGTAATTGTTTATTTATACTACAAATTCCAAAATGTCACTTAAGGTAATAACTTAAATTAATGTTCATCGTTTGGAACTTCACCAAATTGAATTTAATATAGTTAAAATGTTGGTAGGTTAGTTTAACTTAAGCTATTTAATTAGGTTAAAGTGCTTTGTTTAGAGCTTCATTAATTTGAGTTGATAAAGTTAAATAATGCTAATTTAGGTTGCAAGCTAAATTAAAAAAGTTTACTTGAAATAATAGTATTTCCAGATATGTTTCTAACTTAAGTAATATGGATATTACTGATTATAAAATATATTGTAGAATACATTTAGATGTTAAACCTTTTTCTCGAGTAGAAATAACAGTGCGACTACTTAACAAAATAACCGTTCGCTCGAAACATCGTAATTAATTTATATATTTTAAATTTCCTGTTTTCACCAATGCATATTATTTCAATCTTCTTTTCTTGGGCAGTATTGTTTGAGATTGTTCTAACAGTAGAAGCAAAATATTAAAAGATAGACTCTGAAAGCAACACATATTGGATATATTTGCCAAACACACAAAAATATAATATATATGTATAATCAACTTTCAAATTTACATGCTTTTTTCCAGATTTTTCAGAAAATGACAAGAGAAAAACTTACCAATTTCAGTCCTCTTTCCAAAAACGCTTCCATTAAAAAGTGGTCGTTTAAAGGCATCACTTGAGTTTATTAAGAACAAAGTAATTAAGAAGACCATAATTTTTGTTGTGAAACCCATAGTAAATCTGCAAAGAAAATTTACGTATTAGTTTGTGATAAAACATTTTCTATGTTTTATGTTTACAACTATTGGATTTTACCCCTGAATATATAAACTGTGTTCCTTTTCTACATATGTGTGTTTGTTGACTCAGTGCAAAGCTACACAATGGGCTATCTTTTCTCTTTGTCCATTGTGGGGAATCGAACCTCATATGTTAGCTTTTGAAGTCTTTAAATTTACCTCTGATCAACTGTGGGACCTTTCCTATAAAACTTTAAATTCCTTATAAGCGTTGGTTCTTAAGTTCGATCACGTTTATTTGTTGCCTTAATTAAACAAATTACGAATAATTACAGCAAGTGACTAAGAGTTTATATTTCAGTTAAAATAAATCGTAAGTTTGGTGTATGTTTCACAGAAGACGTTTCCAAAGAACAGTGGGTGTTAAAAAATTTATCATTTACTAACGAGGCTGTAAGAATATATTAAATAACGAACCTGAGATAAGTGAGATATATTAAAGATTAATCCTTCTTTTATGTGTTTAGAGTAACACTGTGCTAATATTACGGATTAATAGAAGTAGAGGATCAGAGGAGAATATACCACTAAGGCGAAATCTCATTAATGTGTAGATTATTAAGGATTTTAGCTTTATGGATAAGAACTAAAATGTTTTGAAAGTATATGAACTTTTAAAGGTCTGTTAGGTCCAGAATGCATTAGCTGAGAAATTATTAACTTCTAAAGTCTCCAGAATAGTTTAGTCGTGAGCATATGAACTTATAAAGCGCATGGAACTCCAGAATCACCCAACAGTAAATATACTAATTTCTATACAACAAATAGCTCCAAAAAAGATGCACTTATGAAAATATTAACTTCGAAAGGTTAGAGACCTCTAAATTATGCTCGAAAATTTCGTTAACATTGAAAATGTTCAACAGAAGGCTCAATACAGGTTTCATTTTTTCTGGTTTATAACACAAAACATTTCTTATTGATTTGTCTTTATTAATATAAATTATTAGGTCGTCAAGAAATTAATGTCGCTTTTTTTAGATAAAAAACCTGAACAACTTATATATCAAAACAAAACATTTATTAAATGAAATAGTCTCCATTCTTATCGAGGATCCTTTTCCATTTTACAATCAAGTTGTTAATACCCTGATTAAAGAAATCACTTCGCTTTGAAGCAAAAAAAAAAACATGTGGATGTCCTCTTTAACACCTTTCACATTTTTTCCCATTAAGATGGTGTTGCAGCGAACGAAAAAGATGGTAAACTTATGGTGCCATATCTTGAGAATATGGTAGGTGGGGAGAAATTCCCAACCCAACTCTATAATCTTGTGTTGCGTCAAAAGTGCCACTTGTGGACGTGCATTGTCGTGGAGAAGAAGAACACTTTTCTGATTGACGAGTGAAGGGCGTTTCTGATGAAGGGCTTGATTTAAACGTTCCAGTTGCTGACTATAGATCTCTGCCTTGACAGTTCGCTGTGGATTGAGGAGTTCGAAATGAATTACTACTTTGCTGTCCCACCAAATGCAAAGCATCACTTTCTGCGGATGAAATCCAAGTTTGGGGGTGGGAAGTGGTTTTTGTTTAGTACTGAGCATTTGATTTTGGCGTTTAATATTCGCATAGAGAATCCATTTTTCACCACCGGTGACAATTCAAGCGCATTACGCCCAAAA